GGTTGAAGTGGTAGGATGCAGATCTGTCTCTAAGTGCCATGAGCCAGGGGTATGTGGTGAAGCAAAAATAAGTCACCAAACTCCTAATTTTGACAAACTTATGGTCCTCACACAATACTGGTAGTAATACTAGTATTATTATTGGTGGTTCCTGGGCACCAAATACTGGGTGGTGGTATTTTCACTATTAGCTACTGTGGTACTGCTGCTGTTGTTCTTGTTGCCTGCCAGTGGTGCTGGTGGTAGTGGCTCCAGCAGCCACCACCAGCAGTTMTCCTCCCACCAGCAACAAGAAGAAAAAAAGTAGTAGAGGATAAGCAAGAGTGTTCTTGTACTACTACTAGTATCGTCACCACCAGCATCATGGGAAGTATGAGAAGCTAATCAATATCACATAACTCCTTTTTTRAAAAAGTTTTTACTAGTATGGACAGAGGTCCTCATGATACTATTTTTGGTTCCTGCTGGCCTCTATCAGCAATGCAAGTAGTGTCCAAATATGTGAACACAAAAGAAGGAATTGATGGTCTGGCCTTTGACAAACAAATGATCCATGAACACCTGAATGGAACAAATTTCACCATGTTGTCCCACCCCAGCACCCAGCAGAAAACAATGTCAGCAACACCACCCACAACATCAACCCAACACTAGTAGTAGTACCAGCTTAAAGTTAAAGAGTACTCTTTTGATCCTCAACAACATCTTATGTCTGGTTGGTAAATATCCAGCAAGCATGAACACCAGCAGCAGCTGTTGGAGCTGGCCATACCTTCTTCCTGCTTTCAGAAAATTGAGAAGAAAATTGTGGATGATTTCAACAACAGCAGTCTGCTGGTGGAAGAAGAAGGTGCAGATAAATGTGATAGTGGTGATGAGGAAGAGGAGGACCACAATTTTCTGTCACTTGTWGTATTTTGCAGGACTTTGAGGCAAAAATGTCTTGCTGTTCTACACACTCACCAAAGGCATCAGATTAAGTCTATTACCAACAACCAAGAACTAGTACAACAAGAAGGAAAGATTCAAGGGATAGGAAATCCACAAACTTTTAAAATCATTTGGACCATGAAGGACAATTGTTCAGGAGAAGTTATAGGCCTGACCAAGAACAAAGTGCTCCCCCTCAAGACTCATATTTGCAGAATTTTCCAGGGAATGAAAGATTCTCCAAAACTTTGATTGGTGCTGGAAGTGAAGAAGACAATTCTTAAACTGTAGGACACCCTCACCATGAATTCCTGAGTTTCCCCCACCATTTGAAATGTAAATCATCCTTCACTGAGGCAGCAGGAAGCAAGCTCAAAAAATTCATCAACCAATAGTACTAGTAGTACCTCCTCCTATGTACGAAGACATTTACTAGCAAGGATGGCTGCCTAGTAGTACCCCCCTGTTATAGATGGATTACTACAGTCCCCCCACTGTAATCACCAGAAAGACTCCATATGTTGATGCTACTAGTACTACTAGTATGCTCCACTACCAGTACTGCCCCGYCCAAAGAATCATGCACAACTGCCACCAGCACCAGCACTACTACTAGTASTAGTAATAGCATCAGCAAAGACTTGAAGAATGACACCAACAAGAGGTAAGAGGAGAACATCAAAAAYAAGAAGAAGAACCTTCTCCTACTAAGTAGTAGCAGTATTACTGGTATTAGTAGTAGTACTAGTACTACTACTAGCATCACCAGGGTTCTTACACCAGATTCAGTACTGATGAGGATGTAGTAGACCAAGAAGACAAACAGCTGACAAGGATTTCTTCTTAAGAGTCAGAGCAGTAGTAGTACTACTAGTACTTCATTCCAAAGAGGAGGACTGCACCCAACTGTGAAGAAGGACCCATCATCAGCAGCAGTACATTTGCAACATTATTACTGGTGGTGTAGATCTAGAGCAACTGTGATGTACAGTGGTAGCATACTAGTACTACATACGGTACCTAGTATGCTTTGCACTTGTCCTGTACTGTGTACTGGGTACTGTGTACTGTGTACTAGTATGTGAAAATGTAAAATGTACTGCTGTCCAAGCGCCAAATGTGCAATTTTTGAACTTCGTGATGAGAACTGCGTCTCATTTTTGGTGACAWACCGTGGATAAGCAGKTACGAAGTACAACGTACTTCTCGTACGGATACTACGTACAGCTATCTCCTCGGCTCGTGTACATAAGAGTACGGTACCAAGTACCGTACGGAACTGAAAGGCGACAGCCAAACTTGGCAGCCGGCCATGATCAAAAACATTTTTCATATTTCACAATCATGGCGTTCCCGGGGAGTTCAGGTTCCCGGTTTTCGCCGTGACCAGTTTAAACACTCGTGCCAAGTGACCGCGCGCGGATCTTTGGCACCAGCCAAACATAAATGTCAACCAGCCAACGAGATTCGTACGTTGGAGAAATAGAATACCGCGCGTGCAAGGCTGCTGGCAGATTCAAAAAATGTATCTTCTGCTCATCGGAGGAARAAAGCGGATCGTCACCAAAAATCTTTTTCGATCCTAGAAAATCAAGCGGGAACCCCGTTCTTAGCGTGTAATGTACGACACCCGTGTTAAAGTACTGCGAGTACCAGTTACGGTACCGTGCTCTGCAAGATTTTTCGTGCCACCGAGAGTCAGCATTGGAAATACAGTACTTTCTATGAGTAAGAGCAAGTAGAAATAATACGACGGTGTTGACACTGTTACCAGTACTCGCACTGTTACTCGTACGGTACTACCACTCGCACGAATTTTGTTCGGTTTCTGCAACTGCCCATAAATCACAGAAAAACACACATTTGTCCAACGCGAAGACAAAAAACACAAGCCAAAAAATCTTCCAACAATGAAGTTTGTTGCCGCCGCCGTTGCCTGCATTGCGGGCAGTACCGCCATGACCCTRGCGACCGCCGAACTCCGAGGAATGCGCAACCTCGAACAGGACCACAAGAAAATGCTCCGAAGAGTCCCACCCGGATTCGACATCAACCAATTCACCCAGCCCCCAGAAGTCGCCGACGATTCGTCGGGTACCCTTGTCGAGGACGACACCACTCCCAACAATGCTCCGGAGGTCACCAACCCTCCCACCGCAGCACCAGTTTTGCCCGACTGCACCCCCGTCGATGGAGCACCCTCCCGTACCGAGGAGTACGTTGTTGTCCAGTACGACAGCTCTGCCAACGATAAGGTCATCAACTTTGACAAGAAGGMSGACCAGATCGTTCTCGACGTCTTGTACGAGTTTGCCTACAAGAACGCGACGGGCCCCTGCACCCAAAAGGGAGCCGTGAACGAGGTCTTCGACGCCGAGTTCTTGGCCTTCAACGAAGACGACAGCACATTCTTGCTGCGCATCGGACGCATCACGAACTCCATCGGCGAAATGTTCTCTGGCACTTCCGAGAGCTGTGGACCCATCGTCTACAACTCTACCGATCCCGGATCCGTSGACCTCTCCGTTCGTCGTCTGGAAGASCAGTGCGAATGCCCTCTCCCCACCGCCGCCCAGCTCGTTGCGGGTTACAGCGCTGCCCTCGCCAACGAGTACAAGGACGAAGGCCTCGGTGAGAACTTTATTGTCGGAACCCAACAGTTGTGTGCCGAGGAGGGATGCAAGGCCGACAAGAAGGGAATTACCACCTACAGCTCCGCCGGTGTCTGCCTGGGCGATATGGAAGCATTGACCAACGTCCCTTCCAGTTCACCCACGGACTTTCCCACGGACTTTCCCACCAAGTTTCCAACCAATAAACCCTCCAGGAAACCTACCACAAAACCTTCCAAGAGTCCAACAGAGGGTCCAACCAAGGAGCCAACCTTCGAGCCAACTCCTTCGCCATCCGCGGAAGGGGACACTCCTTCCCCTACTGCCGAAGACACTCCTTCGCCTACTGCCGAAGACACTCCTTCGCCTACTGCCGAAGACACTTCTTCGCCTACTGCCGATGACACTCCTTCCCCCACCATCACAAACACGACTTCTTCGCGATTCCTGGTAGAGGAAGAACTCKTGGTCTCGCAAAACCAGGACGCATATGCGTACCTCACCGAGGCACAAGCCAAGCAAGACGTGTGCTCACAGATCGATTGGAAGCTGGTCAATAACGAAGCCAATCGCCGAATGTGCAAGGACTACCTCGAATTGCCGTACGCCAAGACCGATGCAAAGAAGTGCGCCGAGCAATCTTCCGAGACCAAGGTGCCCAAGAAATTCTTCTCCGTAGCCCGTACCTCACACGAATCCCTCGTCCACACCGGAGTCTCTGCTTCCAACCCYGATTTYGAACGCTATCACTTCAGCGACTCCGAGGCCCTGGAATTTATCGAAGAAAATTGCGGAGCCGATGTCGCCCRCGCCTACCAATGCCTCGCCCCGCCAGCCTTCCGTGCGGATCTCTTCCGCTTCTGTGCGCTCTACTCGAATGGAGGTGTCTACCTCGACTCCGATATTCTGCCTTTGGTCCGCCTGGAAGACCTATACGACCCCTGTGCGGTTGCCACCGTCGGACACGACTGGCCACAGGGGCGCCCCCAGAAGCAAATGAAGATCCTCGCCRGTCAGAAGAACGCTCCCATTTTCGGATGCATGCTCCAAAARATTGTTGGAAACGTGGCCAACGAATTCTACTCCGACAATGCCCTGGCCATCACCGGACCCATTGCGCTCCAGGAATGCTACGAACTTCACTCCGAGGGTGTAGCCATCACCTACCACGACACACGCCAGGCCGCTTTCCCATTCACTGGAATGCGCGACGTGCACGGCCACTCCGTCTTGGCCCTCGAGACACCTCCTACTGTCGAACGAGAAAACTACAAGACCGACGTGGATTCCCACGAGGTCTACCGCCCAAACTGTCCACTCCACACGAACATCGCAAAGAAGGTTGCCGCAACCGTTGTCGACAACATGTAAAGACTTGCAAAAAGACTTGCAACTGCCCATCATCTTTAAATACAAAAATACCATAGCAGGAATCGTTTTCACTCTTCCTATCGTCACGCATACGTAGCACTGTACCAAAACACTTATCTTTGCGACAAATCCACGCAAAATCACCCTAACCCCGATCTGCCAAGCTCTACCGCTGTAGCGTTTAACACCCACTTSCATGTTGTATGGCGAAGGTGAGCTCCACGGAGCACCAGTCGAAATAACAAAGAGCATCTTCCTTACGAGACAATATCTTAATATCGTACCGGAGGGAAGGATAAACGCGCGGTGGGATTTAAACCCAGCGTCATGGCCTGATTCTCTKATGTTTCTATCGTGAAAGAGTCGTCTTGTGACAAGTTTGAGTTTACCTTGACTCTTCATGTTATAACTACTTCTTTAATATTTATTTTTTTGCTTTTCAGTATTTCGCTACGCAACTCCTCAATTATATACCAGTACGTTCGTAGAAGTACTTCTCAAAATGTACTGTAATCACTTTTCGTTGATCAAACTTATCTTCACTTAGTAACAATGTTCTCCAATTGTATCCACGCTGATGGTCGCCTCCGATGGGAGCCATCGAATCAACGCACGATTTTGCCCGTGCTATTAAATAGCAGCCACTGCAACGGCACCCATGGCAGCAGCAACCGCAACAACAAAATCTTTTCCGAAATCAGCATTGTGTGCGGGAGCGGTGAGGCCGTAATCAATATCGCTATCGCGACCTTCCGAGGAGAGACCGACATTAGTGACAAAGGAACCAATCCCAGGCTCCTCGGGMGATCCTTCCTGGAGGCCACGAGTTCTGGACGAGAAACTAGCGGTCAAACGGCGGCTCACCGTGGTACACTCAGAAGCTGTACTCAGAGTCCTGCAGTACTCATAGTGCTGATTACCAGCGAACATAACTCCTTCAGGAAACTCATTGCTTGTTGTCTTGGTCCAGCCGGACTGATCGAAAGGATATTTGGCTTCATAATGGCTCGGTTTATTTGATGCCTTTAAAGCGTAAACACACATAGTCACGGGGAAAGCTGTTTTCGCTTGAACGACAACTCGAAACTTCTTTAGAACATCAGGGTCGTCGTCGTACTTCAACTTYGTCCAAGATTGCCGTTGTACCGGTATGCCAGTCATATTAGTCACAAAGAAAAAAAGTGAGTGCAGATGTATGCATTTTGCACAAAAACCACCATCCACAGACAACAAACCAACTCACGGTGTCCGACTTGWATCTCAAAAAGTCCCCATCGGGGCCCAAACATCTTTGGRSCATATCTGGATYATACATGCCTAATAAGCCATKTATTTCGGTATACTTATCTGTTGGCTGAATCGGCCCAACGTTCTTGTAACCRGCACCGGGAACGCTATATTCATTGCTACCATCTTTTTGTATGAATATGCTTGCACTGCTACTACCTTTGACACAAAACGCCATCTGAGCATACTTATCGTTTGAGTCGTTCAGTTGAAAGGGATATTCCACCCTTAAGTCACAGGTTTGTCCAGGGTCCACGTACTCTAAAACAGCTTCGCCAGTGCATTGGAAAGAGTCTGCCGCATCATCAAAATAAGATGCAGTGACTACACTCTTAAATGCTCCCGCAGAACCTCCCATTGGATTCCCATCCTTATCCATGCTCTCTTCAACATCCAAAGTAACGATGGACAGATCACTTGTTAGGTCTCCACTCTCATCTACTAGCTCGATTCCGCCGCTAGTACCGTCGGCTTCGATGCCGCAGAAGACGTTCCTGAAACCCACAACATTATAGTCTGGATTCGCTGAGGTTGGACGAACACATATTTTGAAGTCTTGACCAATCTTGTACKTTTCAACTATTGGTCTCCCGTCATTGACGTCTTTAGTACCACACAAGAACGCCTCAACGGGCACATTGTTTTGAATGGTCTCCGTCTGCATCAMTTTTGTGGATGAAAGAAGTTCGACCCCTTGTTGAAAGGTGCCAAAGGTCCCTGTGTCATCAATGTTYACCGTCAATTGTGCGTCCACATACGATACAACCTCTGAACCATCTTGGGTGGYATCGAAATCCGACATCAAGGCAACTCGAATGCCTTTTGTGAAGAAGATAGACAGAATACACACAACCCACGCAAGGAAGAATGGTAAGAAAAGATACGACATGGGGAACCATATTGCCCTTGTAACCACGTCAGTTTCAAGCATTGCACTTACAAACTTTTGCYACACCTCTCCCTTCACCATTTCCCGAATAGATTTGGGAATTGCGAAAATCGGCGCCGAGACTGAACGTGACAGCCACTACATCACAAGAGATAATGCAAAGACGACAAGACTATTAGAGTATTTGAAAGAGGAGTGGCAAAATCCACCAATAAAGGTATCATCATTAACCCGAACGCACCCAACTCTCCATCGGAAGTGTGCTTTATCCCGGCATATGGATTTGTATCATCTACCGATGCCGTTGACACGTCAGCTCCGATGGCATCTCCTGCATCACATGGATCGTCATCGTTTGCGGGAGCCGAATACAAGCTAATCTGAGGATCCATGCCAGGAGCTGCTTCGATGTACATCTGTCCAGTGAAGGTGCTGATGTCTTGCAATTTCAGAAAAGGCGTATCTCCAGCGACATCTCCAGCGACATCTCCAACGGGAATGAGCTCGAAGCGGCCAATCGGGGGTAATGCAGTCGAAGCAGTTACGGCTTGCATACTCTGGAGTCTGCATGCAGCGGATAAAGCAGCAATGGCAGCGTTTGAAAACTTCATGGTGCGTTTCTTTCTGATCGTTAGTATTACTTGATCTCGGTTTTTTTTTTTTGTGAGAGAGAATTTTCATCGATACTCGGCACTTTGAAACTGTGTTTAGGAAAACAATCGTTGTTCTTGACATTTGAGAGCTACCGTACGTAGTATCCCAAAAAGAGCAGTATGCACGGGGGGTCCTATCTCGCAAAGAATTCTCCGCACTGTCCGGAAGGAAAGGAAATCATGGTTAACTGGTTGAAATTTCCGGGACGACTTTTGAGCATCCGTGTTGTATAATTACTTCTGTCTAGCATGATGTCGAATGCATTCCGCGACAGCTTTTGGGTGGTATCCGTGCGATTGCTATTTTTCCAAAACAAAAGTGAAGTTCGCCGGGATTTGTCAACAGGCATCAATATCATGCCTTGAAGATTCTTTAAGGCATCATTATCTCGTTGTTGAAAACTGTTTTGATACACCTATGCGTCCCTTTATCTTGTACCACTGAGAGGTATTGTATTTTCCATGCTGAAGTGAATACTTTGCAGAGAGATCTCTTCAAAAGACCAGAAGAACGGAAATGATTCCCTGGCTGTTCTTTCCGGGACGGCTTTTGAGTATCCGTGTGGTATAAGTACTTCTTTTCAGCATATTGTCGAATGCATTCCGGGACGGTTTTTGAGTATCCGTGTGGTTTAAGTACTTCTTTTCAGCATAATGTCGAATGCATTCCGGGACAGTTTTTGAGTACTTCCTCCGGTCCTCAACGTTTCCGGGACGGGTTTTGAGTATCCGTGTGGTATAAGTACTTCTTTTCAGCATATTGTCGAATGCATTCGGTATGTTATATAACTGTGGAGGTTGGGGTTGGGGTTGTTGGGGTTG